GCCAAAACCCTGGCGACTATGCGGACTTAGTGCCTGTTGTATAAACCCTGGCGACTATGCAGACTTAGTTAAAAAATATATAAATTCGTTTTAAATGAAGAATTTTTTTTTAAAAACTACATATAAAAGACCTATGTTTACGTTTTCATTTTTAATAATAACTAGAAAGGTTACCCCCGCTACGCGGGGGCCAGAAGCTTTCAATGTTGTTTGCGAATCATTAAATATGACAGACGTAGAAAGTGCAAGGATGAAAAGCCCGGACTTTGCCCCGCACCGTTTTTTTCATGTTTTTATGAAAAAATGTAAAAGTTTTTACTGCAAGGACCAGAAGTGTCAAAATGGCTAAAATTAAAGGGATAGAAATTAGCAACTTTTTAGAAAAGGGATCAAAGTTGTCAAACCGTTAAAGTTTTGTGGCCAAACTTTAAAGATTAAAAGGTTCCTAAAAAGTGTAAAAATATTGATTGTAAGGACCAAAAGTGTCAAAATGGTTAAAGAATGAGGAGCAAAGTTGCAAAAAAACATCCAGTTTTTATGAAAAAATGTAAAAGTTTTGATTGCAAGGACCAGAAGTGTTAAAATGGCTACAAAATTAAAGGGGTAGGAATTTGCAACTTTTTAGAAAAGGGATCAAAGTTGTCAAACCGTTAAAGTTTTGTGGCGAAACTTTAAATATTAAAAGGTTCCTAAAAAGTGTAAAAATATTGGTTGTAAGGACCAAAAGTGTTAAAATGGTTAAAGAATGAGGAGCAAAGTTGCCAAAAAAACATCCAAATTTATTATTCCTAATTTTGAAGCCCAATAATAATACATGACCAATTCTACCAAAAAAAATAACAAATTTACTATTCTTTTTCTTCCTAACTTTAATATATATATATATATATATATATATATATATATATATAATAGTAATATTAATAATAATAAATTCTTTTAGTTTATAATGGATGTATATCGCTGGTAAGGAAATAAAATTTCAAATGGTTGTTGGCATAGTTGGTCAGGTGCATGGTTTTGGTTGTAAAGGTCTCGTGTTCGATTCCCTTCGGCAACCTTTTTCTGCCTTAAAATTATTTCTTTGTAAAACTTCAAGCAATAAGATAAATAATATATATAAATGTAAAAGAAAATTAGTAGATATACCTTCTAGCCTAACCGGCTAGTGGCGTTTGTTTGGTTTTGTGAGGTTCCAAGTTCGAACCGTGTTGGCTACTTCTTCTACGTAATTCCCTTTTTAAGGTTTAATGGCTGACGTGTCATGCCACTTTAGCTGCCACGTCAGCATCCCAATCCAGCTTGGCATGCCACGTAAGCGGTTACCGGTTGAAAAGGTCATAAAATGTTAAATTGTAAGATTTAGCCGGTTTTTTGAGTTTTTTTATTTAAAAAAAAAGTTGGGACTAAAATGAAACTTTTGCGAAAATATTGAGACTTTTCTGAAGATTTCCCTTTTGTTTTTGTTTTTGTTAAATTTGTTCATAGTTTTCCTCTATGCACAAATTTAGGGGGAGAATTAAAAATATCAAAAATCAACAAAAATAAGAAAATTCAAAAATCAAACAAAAATCAGAAAATAAAAAATCCAAAAAAAATAGTGTTATTTCTGTTTTATTTTTTGTTCAGAAAATCAAAAATCCAAAAATATTTTTGTTTATGTTTTATTTTTTCAGAAAATATAAAAAATCCAAAAATATTGTGTGCTAAGTTTTGTTTTAGTTTTGTTTTGTCTTGAAAAGTGAATTCAGATGTAGACGAGACTCATGGAGACTGTATCGAGATTTTCTGAGCCAAGACTTCATCCGTGAGTGTCGAAGAATTTTCATTCGAAGGAGCAAGAAATGAAGATTATTCTTTCAACATTCAATTTTTCAACCCCAGAAGCAAGGTG